GGGACACAGAGGCTCAGACCAAGCAGCCACCTTGGGTTTCCTGACCCACGGGGGAAGCTGGCAAGTCCTCAGTCAGCAGAGGGTCAACACACCCTCCTGTGCACACCTGACCATGCTGGCCCAGCTCCAGCCAGGCCAGAGTCCATCCAAACCAGCACCAGCCGGAGCTCATGCAAATCAGCATCCAGTCCCTGGAGGGGTGGCTACTGGGACCCTGGCAATGCTGCTGCACCCCAGGACTCCATGACCCACCCCCTGGGCGGCCACTCCACCCCCCGAAGCCTGTCCTCATCCCACCCCCGCTCTCAGCCCCTGCTGCGGCCCTCCTGCAAGGCAGACCCTGTGCCCACTGGACTGCATTCTGATGCCCCCTGCAGCCAGGACCCTGGGCAGCAGCCTCCCTGCCCTCCTCTGATGGGCGCTTCCCATCCCTGGTCTCTCTCTCGTGACCTGGCAGCCACCTTGCTCTTCGCTAAGCCACTGTGTTTGGGCACATGGAGTCAGGTGATTTTGCAGCCTTCCTCCCACCTCAGCCTGGGCTCAGCAGCAAAGAGGGCCCCCAGGAGCAGAGGGACTGGTCGGCGATCCACACCCACAAGGACCGCCATGACAGTCTTCTCCTGGGTCCTGGTCTGCAGAGGTCCTCGTTTGGCTGCTCTAGGGAATCCGATGAGTGGGCCACTTTGTTAGATGGGGTTCTACCCGGGTGAGGCTGCTTTCCTGTGGGTGTGGGTGTGCTCTGAGTGGAAGACCAAGGGTCGGAGGTCCAGGCCTTTCCATTCTGTGAGAGACCGGGGTCTGGCCTGCCTGCCCCAGGAGCAGCTGGAGTGGGTCCAGCCCTGCCCCCATCACCGCAGTGTCCCCAGGAGTGGGAAACAGCACGGGCACCTCCTCTGAGGCTGCCTCCCCTCAAGTCCTCCTCAGAGGCCAGCTCGGGTCCCCTGGCCAGAACCAGTTCCCAGGACTACCTTTCTCTGGCCGTGGAAAAAAAGGTCACTTGACTTCTCCTGCTAAAGGTGAGCCTACCACAAAGCCCTGGGGTCAGCAGAAGACAGGAGACTGTGGGTCCAACACGCAGGGTCCTCTACTCCCAGGCCAGAGCAGCACAAGGCCCCACCCGCCATGTTGCTTCCTCTTGCCCACAGGCCCTGGGGCGATGGGGAGGCCCAGCAGAGAGTGTACTCACAGCTGACAGGAGTCCACCCTCCCTCTGTCATTGCCCGAAGTGCCATGGAAAAGCACAGTGCAAGCTGGACACAGTGGCCCGCGCCTGTACTCCCAGCTGCTCAGGAGGCTGAGGCAGGACTGCTCGAGCCCAGAAGTTCAAGGTCGGCCAAGTTCACCTGCTGATGGAACCATGAGCTTGCAACTTGTCTTTGGCCACGTGACAGCCAATCCATGGCAAAGATTTGTCTAGATCCTGCCAGCACATATTTAAATCTTCCCCCAAATGTCCAACTGACTCTGCACAGGCAGCCGGTCTGGCCCATAGCGTAGCGTGTTAACCCCTCCTCCCCGGTGATTCCACAGCAATGCCCAGGCTGATGCTGCGCGCTTGGGACATTCTCAGAGCTACCACCTACCTCCACCACGTGGACATCCACAGTCCTCTTACCCACTTGGCCCTGCCAGACAGGACAGGCGGAGGCAGCTCGGGAGACAGCCAATGTTCTCACGGCTGCCCGCTGCCGTGTGCTCAGGAAGAAGCCGACGGCAGCTCACCTGGGGCAGGTTGGAGGCTGGGTCTTCCCTGGAGCACAGCTGGCTGCCCTGGATCCTAGCAGCAAGCCGTAGGGAGGGGCCCCAGGACCCAGATGTGTCCGAGCCGGGGTCAGTGCCTCAGACCTTGGCAAAGTTCCCTGGCAGCTGGGAAGGTAGGGGACTCTCTTCCAGGACAGCTCAACTTGGAGAGATAGCAGGCCCTGTGCTGGGGCATCAGCATGAATGCTGTTGGTGTATCTGGAGATGGGTTCCCCTGGACCCTTGACTGACATGTCCTCAGAATGGGGTGCGGCATGGGGCCTTGCCTGCAAGGAGGAGGAAAGAGCGGAAGGCCCTGATGTGACCACAGGTGGTCCGGGCTGTGCTGCAGTCCCTTCCCTCTCCCACATGCTCAGGCATAATCCCAACCTGCAGTCCAGGTAGACACCTCAGTGGCCAGTGGCCTTCTGGCTGCCCCGACACATGCTTCCCAGTCCACACTCTACTCGGCCTCCCCCTCCACACCTGGCCCTGGGCCCCTTTGCCGGCTCCTTTTCCCCATCCAGCCCTGAATTGCAAGTGGAGGTGGGGACCCTTCTGCCCTTTTCCTGTTACTTCTCTTCCAAGCTGGAACTCTGAGAGGTACGAGGCCGGGTTCTAGCTGCCGTCCCCGAGCAGAGACTCCTCACAGTGAACACAACCCCATGAAACTGATTCCTCCAAAACCCCTCATGTGACCCCCTTCCTGCAGACCCCCAGCAGCTCAAGCCTAGGAGGCGTCCTTGATGACCTTACCCAATGGGCAGTGGGTCCCCAAGTCCTTCTTCCTTCCCCCTGACTCTTGGCTCTGGCACCTCTCGCCTGAGGTGTCCCTCTAAGGTCCCACAACCATGGTTACATTTCCCCTCTGTTCCACACTGACCAGCTCCCACAGCTCCCACTTGCAGCGGAGGCTCCAGCTGACTGAGGCCCGGGCCCCTGCCCTTGCCCCTGCCCAAGGCCTCTCCCAGCGCCAGCACCTGAGCTCTCCACAGCCAGGCCCTGCTCGGGGGGTCAGCTCATCACCAGCCCACTCCAGGGTGCTCAACGGACCAATGAAAGCACAAGGGGCTTCTGGCTGGCTTCTCTGCCACAAGTGACCACCACCAGTCACTTTAGGAAGCCAGGGAAGGACAGGCCATAATACAGCCAGGGCCTCACCCTGTCCCCAAGGGGGACCCCGGAGGACACGAACCTTACGCCAAGCTTAACAAAGGCCCCTTGGTGCCCAGCCTTGCCATGGCCTGGCTCTGCTCCCTCCTGGAAACAGTGGCTGCCATCTGTACAGATGCCACACAGACTGGGGGTGGGGACACTAAGCCAGGTCAAGACAGGGTGTAGCCATGTCCCTGGGAAGGATTGGGGCCACTCTGCAGGGCTCTGTGGGAGGCAGAGGCCGTGGGAGGAGCCATGCCAAGGAGCCTGGAGACCCAGGGCATGGGCCCCGCATGGCCCTGGGGTAGGTGGTGCGCTGGAGCCTCAGGGAGGGTCTCTGAGCCCCAGGCCCTCTTCTCTCTGCTGGAGGGAGCAAAGCCAGGAATGGCAAGTCCCACCTCTGACACAGGACACTGGCCTGGCAGGCAGAGCCGACCCACAGCAATGCTACCACACTGCCTCCCCAGGCCTCTAGGTCAGCAAGTTTTTCAGAAGAGTCAAAATCAGAGGTCAAGACTAGGGACATGGCTCAGTAACACCTGCCTTCACGTGCAGAGGCCCTGAGTTCCATCCTCAGCACCTAAAAACAGAACAGATACCAGAAGCCCAAGACTCTGGAGCCCACGTGGCCCTTCAGCCTATTCTGCCTGCTCCAGGACTCACCCGGAGATGAGTGCACCCTCCAGGGTGCACTGAGGGCTAGTCTTCATCCAGGACACAGACCAGGTAGGACAAGCAGGCACTGGCTTCAGCAAGACACAGACTCCAGCCTTGGACACTCAGAACGCAGGCCTCACCTACTGACCCCCACCCAACATTACTGAGAACATCCCAAGCTTGACCACAGGCCAGTGAGACTCCCACAGCCCATCCCTCTCCACCCCTGCCCATGGCCTCCAGGGCCACTCCTCCGCCACCAGCAGCCCCTCCACTTCTCGTCCTGGTTGGCTACACTAGAGGGTGGGCTGCCCAGAGCAGAGGCCTGCGGTCACTAGCAGGATGCTCACAGGGGGGCCACTGAGGATGTGGGTGGAGGTAGGGACAGGCTGATGGGGAGGACAGAGGCACTGGTCACACCTAGCCACAAAGGGAGCCTTGTGCACCTGTCCCCAGGGCCTGCTGGAAGGCAGGCAACTTACCAAGCCAGATTCCAGATGACAGGGGGGCAGTCCCCATCTGGGGGTGGAGCCCGCCTGCCCCTGGGACCCTGGACAGCCGCAGTCAGGGTGCGGGGGGAGCCCACTGTGAATAGCCAGCCCCATACCTTCCTGGGGTGGTCATAGATGACAGAAATCCTGAGGCTTCTGGGCAGCAGGGAGGGACGTTCTTGCCTCCAGGGAAGCAAAGGCCAATGCAGTGGACAGGTGCCTAGCACGGCACAGAGCTCCAAGATGCAGCGAGTGTCACCAAGTGTCACCGGAGGTTGGAGGACATATATAACCATGGCCAGTCATGGGTAAGAGCCATCCTCTCAGCCTCAGAAGGCCCCCAGGTGCCACAGAGACCCTCCTGGACTGGTGGGACACAGGGCCACAGCACAGAAGTGGGACCCACAGGAGGTCAGGTGAGAGAACACCTAGATGGCTCCAGCCTCTGCTGCCTGTGGACTCCACAGGTGTTCGAGAGCTGGAGTAAGGTGTGGCCAGGCCGCATGCTCCTGGCTGGGGCTGCACTTCGGCCTAGGAAAGCTGGCCCTGAGGCCATCCAACACAGGCAGTCTTGGTTTGGAAGAGCCCATCAGCAGAGAGGGACTTCCATGGGACAGGGCACATCTGGACCTGAGGGGGAGGCAGGGACATGGGGCCTCGACACCCAAGGTGGGGGTCAATATATACCAGGAAGAACACCGTTAGGTTATGGTAACAGTGGAGGAGGGAGCAATGAGATTAGATGGAAGAGGGGTCTCTGGGGCAGGGCTGCAATGCCCCCCTATGCCTGCCTGCACAGGCGTTCCTGAGAGCCACCAAGGAGGGAGCCCCCCACCCTGAAGTGCCCAGCAGGCCCCACAGCCACTCTCCCTGCGCTGAGACCCTTCTCTTGACTCACCCTCCCTGACACCCTGCCCAATTAGTTATTAGGAGCGCATGAAACAGGCAGAGAGGTGAGGCTTTGGATACAAAACTGTAAACGCGAGTCTTTAAAATGACAGAGGCCTCCTTGGCCCGGAACTCTGAGCCAGAGACCCCCACCAAGGGACCAGATATCGTCACACTCTGCCCTCCCTTCCCACCCAAGGGGCAGGCCCAGCAGGCAGAGGCCAGGTCACCTCCACTGGGCTCAAGCCTCGAAAACTGTTCCGCGTTGGGGTGGGCTGGCGCAGTGGGGACTGAGGGTCCGTGGTCCAAGGGATTCCTGAGATGAAGAAGCGGCCGCGGCCCTGCACCGCACTGGCCCCTGAGGGCTGCCAGCCCCACCCCATCCCATGCAAACCAGGCCAGGTTGGCCCAGCGTCTCTGCGCCCTGGGGTACAGCAGGGCCCTGTCACGTGTCCAGTGCCTCACGGGTAGGCGAGGGCCCATGGGGGCGCCCAGGCGGGCCATGCAGCGGCGGAGGCGGCGGAACAGAGTTGCGCTGCGTCGGAGGTGGCTGCAGTTCCAGCGCAAGCGCAGGTGGTGGGAAGTCGCGCACCTGGCGGCGGTACTCCAAGAAGGTGCAGGCCTTGGTGGCCAGCGCCACCACGTTCTTGCCGACGAAGATAGCAGAGACGCGGCTGTCACGGAAGAGCGCCATGTTGGCAGCGCGCGCCAGCACTGCTACCACGTTGACGGTGGCGAGGCTGAGCACCGGGTACAGCATCATCTTCTGTGGCGCTATGTGCTCGCCCTGCATGCTGACCTCGCTGAGCGCCACGCACGGCAGCACTAGCAGCAACATGTAGCAGTAGAAGAAGGTGAGGCCTTCGGCCCACAGCGGCAGCCCGGTGCGCGGTGGCTCCCACAAGTTGGCCTGCATGTCCAGCAGGTCCAGCAGGTCGAGGGCTACCCAGAAGAGGCGGCCGCGCAGGTCTTCACGCTTGCGGAAGGTGCGCACATACTCCATACGGTCAAGCGCCACGAGCAGCAAGAAGAGGCCGGGCACGCATACCGACAGCAGCAGCGTCAGCGCCTTGCGGGCCACTGGGTCGGCTGCACCACGCCTCGCGGCCTTGTAGTTCTGGAAGATAAAGTAGAGTTTGATCTCCAGCACAAAGATGTAGAGGAACCAGAGGATCATGGCATAACCGCGCTTGGCAGTGCGCACCTCGGCGCCCACCCACACGGCCACGTAGCGCAGCACCAGCAGGAAGCAAACGTCTCCCACCAGCACGATAATGCACACACCAATCTTGCGCGGGCCCTGGTTCTGCTCCACCAGGTATGCGTCCATGACGGCCATGCTGCCCATGATCACCAGCGTGGTCAGGCACACGTGGCGCCGGTCTGGGGGCGGCAGCACCATGGTCAGCCGCCGGGGCCCCGGCCCAGGTGCGCACGGCCCCCACGCGAGGCAGGACGAGGCCCTGCGGCGGCCGGGAGCGCGGCGGGGCGCGGCCGTGCTCAGCCCGTGGGCATGATGAGACGGAGCTTGTCCAGCTGCCCGGAGGGCGCCGCCGCTCCCGGCCGGCGAGCTTGGAACCTGGGGAAGACCAGAGGAGACAAGTCAGCGCGCAATCCCGGGCGGCGTCAGGCTCAGGCGGGCCGGGAGGGCGGGCGACCTCCCGCAGCCCCCGCTGTTTCCTGCGCGGGGCGCTGTCACAGTGCAGCACGCCTGGGGTCTCGGTCGCAAGCACGCGCAGCTGCGCGCACACAGGATCCTGAGCCAACGAGCAGAACCTCCAGGGGGCGCTGCAGCCGCACCTGAGAGACTGGAGACCTCGTTCCCGCCACCGCCAGGAAGGAAACCGAACGGAAGTGGTTTCTCCTCGCCGCGCGCGTTCCCGGAGCCCCGGTGGTTTGTCACGGCTGGGCCAACGCCGCCACCCCTCCCGGTTCGGGCGATCTGGACCTCAAGCCCGGGACAGCGGCCCGAGGCCTTTCCTGTGGGGTTTTGGGCGTCCCCTCCCTGCCGCGCCGCGCTAGGGAAAGAGGCGGACCTCCTCCTTGGCCCTGAGAGCACCGGGAGTACGGGAGGCCCAGGCCCCATCCCGGAGACAGGGCTCTGGGCAGGTTTCCGACCCGGATTGAGAGTCATCCAAGTCCTGCCGCGTCCGTCCTACACAGCCTCTCCGTACCCCCCTACCCGTTCCTTGCAGCCCCCACCAGCTCTCCTCCCTAACTGGCAGTCTCTTATTCCCTCCTGTCTGCCCTCCAGGGCAGTAGGGACCATTCTCTGCCCTGCGCCCACCATGGCTCCCATTGCCCTGGAGACGTGTTCTCTTGTCCTGGCTGCATCTCCAGCCATATACACTCCCCACTCCCCGTACAAACACACCCACACTGCCTTACTCCTTTGCCCTGGTGGTCCCCGGCTGGGAGCTGCCTTCAAGAAGACGCCAGCAGAGTGGCCCTTCTGGTACACCTGGCACAGCCTGTCCCTCTGTGATAGTCGGAGGGCCCCTGCACCTGGGCCTGCTCACACCCCCTCAGCCCTCACACACCTGAAAGTCACTCCCAGCCAGGCCCAGCCTCTGTGCAGGACACTCAGGACAGGGGGTTGCGTTTACTGCCCCGTCTAGACAAAGACATAAAATGTATTGTCACCCGTGCTGAGCTCAGCTTGTTCCTGGTGACACAGCCTCCACTGACTGGAGGAGGCCTTGAACTGCACATCGGCACCCCTACCCTCATCTCAGCTGCGGCCATGCCTGGCACCCTCCTCCCAGGGGTCCCCACAACCACACACAGCACTTCCACGCAGAGCTCCAACACCTAGTAAAGGACGCCTTTGGGAGCCATCAGCCCACACACCCACCATCAGATTCCGTGCACTATTCCCCAGCCGCCCGCTGACCCTGCTTACTCGCCCACCAGTAGGCACACCTCGTGGGAAGCCCACGCTGGGCCCATTCCTGCCCACCTGGGCCTCCTCTGGGCGCAGCCTGGGAATTTCTTCCTCTCAGCACTTGCGCAGGCCAAGAGCCCTGTCTGCTCCACCCGCTCCATCACCGCTCCCCAGTCACTGGTCAAAGGAGGGCGGAGGGCTTTGCGGTGGTGATGAGGCAGACGCCACCCCCTAGAGGAGCCCCCGCCCACGAAGCCAGAGCCCGGGCCGTCCTTCCAGCCGGGCTCCTCTGGACCTGGCCCAGGTCCACCTGCCCTGGGTCTCCCGCTCCGCCCTCAGCTCAGGTCTCACGCACCGACTCCGGGCCCCCAGGCCTCCAGGCCCTACCCTGCCCGCCCGGCGCCCGCGCCCGGCACGGACCCCCACCCCTCGGTGCCTCCAGGAGGGGGTTGGGACCGAGGAAGGGTCGCGCCACTCTGGGGCCGCGGTTTCGAGGGTCCAGCCGCTCGCAGCAGGTTGCTTCTCCGCTTGTCCCTCCCCCACCAAAGGCTTCCCTAGCGGGGCCTGCCCCGTCACACGGCCCGCCCGAGGCCTCACCCGGCATTGTCCCCCCTGCCATCCCACGCCCCGCGGCCGCGGGACGGGGGTCGCCCAGGCCCGGAGGGCAGCAGCGCCGGCCTACCGCCCCTCTCCACCGACACGCCACCGGCCCGCCCGCCCGCCGATCGCCGGCGCCTACCCCGCCGCCGGCCAGATGCTGCGAGCCCGGCGGGCCCCGCGGAGCCGCTGCTCCCGACCCGGCGCGCGGAGCTGCGCTCCGCCCCTCCGCCCCCGGCGCCTCCCCCGGCCGAGAACCCGCCCCTCGGCCCGCGCCCCCGACCCGGACCGGGGCCTAGCGGTCCGCGGGGGGTCCGGCACGGCGCCAGTTGCGGAGAAACCGCTCTGCGCAGTCCCGGCGCACTGGACAGGTGGCGCTGAAAGCGGACGCTCCAGGATCCACCCCTGGCCCGGATGTCTGTCCGTATCGCCTCACCCAACAGCCGAGAATCCCTTCAGTCCTCTCTCCCCTAATTCCTCTGCAGCCCTCCGGGCTCAGAGCCTGACCGCCACTGAAGTGACCCTGCTCACCCACGGCAAGCTGCCCGCTGGACCCCGTCCCCGTGGAGCTGGCCAGGACGTGGGGGCGGGGCCGACAGCCGGGGACCCTAGGAATGGCCCTCGGGCCAACACAGTGGTGGGGCCTGGGTCCTACTCCCAGCTGGGAGCTGGGGCCCTCTGTGCCCTATGGGGAAAATCCAGCCCCGGTCTCTTGCGGGAGGAGGAAGAGATGAGGAGAAGCTGCTTCCGTTTCCAACCGTCGGGGGCAAGCCAGTGCTCTGGGGCGCAGGCTTCCTCTCTCCAACAGTCCTCACTGAGCCCCCACCTACCTCGGGGCCCTGTGAGCCAGAGAAGGATGAGGAGGGCACTTACTCCCAGATGCCCTCGTTCCCAGAGAGGCTCACTTCTCTCTGACAGAGACTGAGGGTCAAGGATGTGAAGGGACATCCAGAATCCCACTGCTGGGAAGGGCGGAGTCGGATCCCTCCCAGGTCTGCTCACACTGGGGCACTGCAACAGGCTACAGTGGGCCATCTAGGGACCAGGGACCAAGCTGAGGTGCTCACTGGGATAGCTGGGCAGGGATGCCAGCCCCCACCAGCCCGCTTGCTCTCACTGGAGGGTGTTGCCTGGTACCCAGGAAGGGGCTCCACATCCAAGAGTGGACTGTTCTTCCCTCATGGATTTCTCTAGAGCCCCCTGGTGTCATCAACAAGGAGGCTGAGGGCTAGACCACTCCAGTGCCAGAATGGAGAGAAGAGGAGGCCCCCACTGGACAGTGGGCAGTGCCAGCCTTCAGCATCAGTGTCCGCACAACAGCCCTGGGTGTCCACTCTGCCCTCCCTACCTCACCCGAGGCTAGTCTTCCAATGCTTGGTCTGCCCAGTGCTCCGCCTGGCCCTCTCCAGCACCCCAACCCTTGGAACACTGCTTACACATCCAAAGGGTCAGGCCATGCAGTGAGACACTATCCTGCATCATCTGGATGGCCAGAGAGGCAGGGGATCCTGTCAGAGAGGGACTTGAAGATGCAGCTCTGGCGGCTCTGGAGAGGAGGAAGCGGCCACAGGCCAGCTTCACAGCTGGAAGGGCAGCACAGGGACTCTCCTTAGGGCCTCAGGAAGGAAGCAGCCTTGGTTTTAGCCCAGTGGCTCTGTCCTGCACACTGCAGGGCAGTGGACTGTGTTGTTTGAAGACACTAAGTTTGTAGCAGTTTATTACAACAACAATGGGCTAGGGATGTGGCTCAGTGGCTGAATGCCCCGAGTTCAATCCCCGGAGAAAGAGAGAGAGAGAGAGAGAGAGAGAGAGAGAGAGAGAGAGAGAGATATGGGGTGGGGAAGAAAGGAAAGGAAGAAAGAAGGAAGGAAGGAAGGAAGGAAGGAAGAAAAAAGAGAAAGGGAGGGAAGGAAGGAAAAGGAAGAAAGGGAAAGGGAAGGAAGGGACAAAGAAACCAGCACGGCTACTGCCCTGAAACAGCTCTTCCCACACAGACAAATCTGCGAGTGACTGCAGAGCAGGTCAAAGCTGGGCAGGTGGCACATCCCAGCACTGGGAGGCTGAGGCCGGGTTGCTTGAACCCAGGGATTCAAGGCCAGTCTGGGCAACAGTCAAGACCCCAATTCAAAAAAGAAAAATAGGCCGGGCACAGTGGTGCACGCCTGTAATCCCAGCAGCTCAGGAGGAGGAGGCAGGAGGATCTTGAGTTCAAAGCCAGCCTCTGCAATTTAGTGAGGCACTAAGCAACTCAGTGAGACTCCTTCACTATTAAATGTAAAATGGGGCTGGGGATGTGGCTCAGTGGTTGAGTGCTCCTGAGTTCAATCACGAGTTCCCAAAAACAAACAAACAAACAAAAAAAATAAAACAAATTAAAAAAAATCAAAAAGTGGACAGGAAGAGAAACACCCTAGGTTAAGATGGGGAGAAGAGAAAGTGGCAAATCCATGGGGATGTTGAAGTGAGCATGCACTACATGTGATAATCACAAAGTGCTGACACAATGGAACCTACCATTCTGCATAGATATGCACCAGTAAAAATAAAAAACAAGAAATTAAAACACAAGTCAAGCACAGCACATGAAACAAGGGGAAGGGAGATGGTCCTGACTGCCGGGGACCAGCAGGGATGCCCAGCAGCCCAGGGCACGCACTGCAGGAAAGCAACACACAGCTCTGAGGGAATCCAGAGACAGTGGGGCAGAAGACAGGGTTAGCCAAAGGGAGTCCAGGCCAGAGTGGGAGATGCAGCAGCTTACCAACCAGAAGAGAGAGCAGACTTAAACACTAACCTGTCACCAGACACGATGGTGCACACCTATAATCTCAGTTATTCAGGAGGCTGAGGCAAGAGGATCACAAGTTCAAGGTCAGTCTTGGCAACTTAGCAAGATCCTGTCTTAAATAGAAATCTTACAAAGGGCTGTGCACGTAGCTTGGGAAGAGTGCCTGCTTATGATTTACAAAGCTCTGAGATCAATC